ACAAGCAAAGGTAAATACTAAACCCTTATTTCGTTCTTATTTGATAGATCTAGGGTTTATGGCTTGGATTAACAATTGCATGTTCATTAGACAAACTAGATCCAAAGCTATTAGGGTTTGCATGTACACCATAGGATTGATGTATTGCTCGAAACCCATCAAGTTATTCATTTCATTATCATTGTCACTTGGCTTAAGAGCCATTACACAAAGTTTGAACATACCCCTATCAGCATACCCCTTACCCACATACACACCATTTTTGGTTAACACAAGTTTATCTGACTCAAACCCAAGCGAAACCATGCTTGTTCAACAACCAACCCGACACAAATTCTTACGAATCCGGGTGCATACAAACATCATTCAACGTCAGCTCTCTTCCCGACTCATCTTCAACACAATCTTTCCAACACCTTGGATATCAGAAGTGGTCGAGTTTCCCATGAACAGCTTGTCACCATTATTTACAACCTTGAAGTTTCTGAACCATTCTCTATTTGAGCAAACATGACGGGTAGCTTTCGTATCAATCCACCACTCCCTTGGATTGGACTCTACAAGATTAACTTCAGAAATAACCGTTGCAAGATCGATGTCAGACACATCTTTGGTTATCTTCTCCACAACATTTGCCTCCTTAGCCTTCTTTGGAAGCTTGCAATTTGCAGCCCGATGACCCCGTTGGTCACAGTTATGGCAGTTTCCTTGAAACTTTTTCTTAAAAGTTCCACCTTTGGCTCCCAAGTTTGAACCCTTGCCTTCTTTTGGAATTTCCCTTTCCAGATTTATTCTTCCCAGAAGTTTGACCATGCTCCACCACATTAGCTTTCTCAGAAGTAAGGGTATAACTACTCTTTTGAGCTATCTTATTGTCCTCTTCAATTCGAAGGCGAACAATAAGGTCCTCAATGGACATTTCCTTTCTCTTATGTTTCAAGTAATTCTTGAAATCAACCCAACTAGGGGGTAGCTTCTCAATCATGGAAGCAACAGAAAAAGGCTCATTCAACCCCATACCCTCGGCATGTATATCATGTAGGAGGACTTGTAGTTCTTGGACTTGGGACATAACAGTTTTGCCATCCACCATTTTATAGTCAAGAAATCGGGCAACCACAAATTTCTTTGTCCCGGCATCTTGAGTTTTATACTTTTTGTCCAATGAGTCCCATAGTTCTTTGGCTGTCTTTGTTACACAATACACATTATAAAAGTGAATCAACAAGGCCATTAAGACATAATTCCTACACAAGAATCAAGAAATGTTTCCAAGCATCAATAGCAGTTAGTTTGCACATATCCTTCTCATTCGGGCATCCGAGGAGCCTCTTCAGTTAAGAATCTAGCAAGATTCAATGTGGTAAGATAGAAGAGCATCTTCTGCCGCCACCTCTTAAAGTTCAGTCCAGAGAACTTCTCAGGTTCTCAGCATGATTGACCGGCATGGTCATCATGGAGCTCCTTGAGCATTAGGAGTTCCATTAGGCTTTGGTGGTTGGGAACCTTCACTAGTAGTCATACTACAAAAGGAAGCAAATATAAAACTATTAAAGATTAAAATTCAGTAACCACTAAACTGTTAAATATTGTCTGTTTCCAGAAAGCAGGTTCTGAAAAACTGTGAAACAAAAGAAAGAATCTGAAAATTGTTTTAGAAAACAATTTCTGAAAACAGTAACAGATTATGGATGCAATAAACGTAAACAAAAAATAGAAGAAGCAGAAAATGTCTTAGAAAACGATTTCTGAAAACAGATTCCGCAATTGTTATGTAGAGAAAAAAAAATCGTTTTTATAAACACTTAAAGACGAATCAGAAACAAATAATTTTATTTTTCCAAGTTCGTTTCGCACAAACGATTTGTTTTAAGACTGTTAGGAAAATATAACCCAAAACTGTGCGAAAGAACAAAATCCAAAAAATTCTTGAGTGGGGCCTGTGTTTAACACAGTTTCCTTAAAACAAATTCACCCTATATGGGTGTTTGTTTCCCAGGATACAACAGTAGAAAGCAATTTTTCGAGATTGCCTGAACCCTCACTTGGCCCGGATGATACCTTGGTTGCAGCATGAAAGAAAAGATGAAGCAGAAGCGTAAGAGAGGAAGGGAATGATTTCGTTTCATCCGGTGTATGGAATCAGTCACATATGCACTGTATATATACTATCCAATGTAACCGATGCAATTAAAACGAAATCGTAAATGTCACAATTAAATAAGAAAATTAATCAAGAAATCAAAACCGAAAGCTATGATTAATTGCTCTTAATTCAGTTTTGTAACTGTTAACCAAAAGGAAAAAATGCAAAAAAGGTCCTTGAACTTTTCTGGTCGACCGGTGGTGCATTCGTGCACGCAGGACGCGCGCTCGCACACAAGTTCAGTAGCCCGAAGCCAATTTGGCTCGCATTTGCACCCCCTGCGTGCGCGCGCAAGAGAGAGCCTTGGTTCTAATAAGTCTTACAAAGGTAGCTAGTCTTTGTAGTTGTGCAACCTCTTAAATCTTGCTGAAATCGGTTTACAATCCATAAATCGGCACACTCACTTGAATCTTGCTGAAATGGTAACAATTTCTATTGCTTCTTGCTGAATCTTGTAACACTCAAAAATCACAAAAATTTAAAATTTTTTAAAATCAACCATTCATCATCACTGTTTATAAAATTTCAAAGTATTATTTCAAATCTACGTTTTTCCCCAAGATCTAGTGACAAACAAAAAGATGTATATGATCACGCATTTGCCTTCCCACGATCCTCAGAAGATCCTCGGAAGTACCTGAAACCACAAACTAAAGACTGTAAGCCAAAGTTTAGTGAGTTTCCCAAAATACCACCATACAACATATAATTAAACATATAACGGGTCCACGACCTCTTGGTTGGATTACCCCTGGCCCATAACCTTACGGTTGGAATGCCTTGGCCCACAACCCTACGGTTGGAATGCCCAATACATAACGGGTCCACAACCTCATGGTTGGATTACCCCCGGCCCATAACCTTTCGGTTGGAATGCCCTGGCCCACAAACTTATGGTTGGAATTCCCCGATCTGTTTACTTACATTACAAAGCAGTACAGTCTCAACCTCACCATACCATGTCGACATACACATAACAATTAACATATAATCAACAATAAATAATCATATAACCAATTAACAATCTAGCAGACAAATCCACAAATTACTACTGTATAGCAACATCCTAGATACCAGGATACATAACCAACATGGGGCGACATTGGTGCCTTCGACCCACAAGAACAGTGAGGAAGACTCACCTCACAGTTTGACGAATAGTTGAATAAGATACCGCTCCAAATACCGGCTATACGGGTCACCTAATCAACGGATAGATACCAAGGCTTAACTATAGCTTAAAATACCAAAATACCCTTACGTCAAACTGGTCAAAATCAACAAGTCAACCGAGTCAGCCCAGCCAAGTCAACCCAGCCGAGTCAACTCAGCCGAGTCAACATGGGGATGTACACGGGGCGTACTCCGGATGTACACGGGGCGTACTAACTGTCCGAGGCGTCGGTGCCAAATCTGCGTACGCGCAGCGTACCCTTCGGTACGCCCAACATACGCATCAATCCCCTTCTTAATATATTAAGAGCTTATTTCTCCAACTTAACACGTCCAAATGCAGATCCAAGGCTAAAATACCACCAAGAGTCATAAAGTTTCCAACTTTATGACTTTGCATGTCTATTAAGTGCTTAATACACAAATTCTCAACATATTAATGCCTTAAGAGACTTATTTGGTTAAGAACATGCGATGCTCACGGATCACCATATTTGGGACAAAAATGCCCTAAATGAAGAAATGGCTAGATCTACAAGATAGAGTGATCAAGTTATGAACTTTTTACCTCCTAGAGGTTGCTAGCAAGTGGAGAATCCCAGATCTAAGTTGCTTCCAAGCTTCAAGGTCATTGCACCAACTTCTTCTTCTTCAAGAAAACTAACAAAGCACACAAATGAGCTCAAAACCACTTTTCTCATTTAGGGTTTGCTAGATGGTCGTATTCTCAGTTGGAGGTTGATTAGGGTGAAGGTCTTGGGGCCCTACAGTTGTTTAAATAGGGTTCAAACACTAAAATTTAGGGTTTGGAACCCTCGAACGTATGCCCAACGTACGAAGAGTACGCCCAACATACTAAGTCCCTCGCATGTACGCCATGCGTGCGAAGAGTACGCCCAACGTATTAAGTTCCAACTAGAAATTACAAAAATGCCACTATGGGCCATTGTACACTCTTTCTTATGTACAAGGACTAAAATGCAATATTTATTCATGCTTAGCGTTAAAATTGAAAATACATCATCATCGGGATGTTACAAATCTGAATTTGTTTGAACAGGATGGTGTATGCTCTTCTTGACGATTTTAGAAATTTGAAAATGAATTTATGGTCTTGCTGAAATTTGAATGAATGCCACATTATTTGAAATAATAACTCACAAAAGCATAATAAGTTCCTGAAATTAATGTGTATATATCACAACTCGAAATGATTGTATATATTTTACAACAATATCCTATAAAGAATGCGTGTCGATTTCATAACAATTTCTTTAAAAATCTAGTAATGTACAATTACTTCTTGGGGGATGATAAATCGCATGAAAGATAAGTATACGACACATTTTCACTCGAGTTGTCATCAAATCATGAAGCAGGTGCAAATTCCTAATTTTTTTTGGTAAATATTGTTGTCTCATCTACCAGCGGCAATGATCAAGCTAATTACCCATTTGTTTCATGACATTTTAAAAATCTTTCATCTGCATGCCAAATTATATGTAAGAACCTACTTGTGAGTCTATCTTTTGCCTATCTATTTCAATAAGTCCGAGTTCCTGCAATTCACGATCCTTTTATTACATACCACATATTATAGGTCAAAGATCCAAAGTTGCACTGATTTTTCTTCTCAACCAAATGACATCTCTTAACTTGATGATCACTTAGTCACCCTGCGATGCTCTATTTCAGACAACTATGTGATTACGACCAAATTTTACCTGCTCGCAAGGTTGTTCTTCTAGACCACGTCTTGCGCGTCTTCAACATGCAACTCCCACGTGTTCGACTTCATTAACCGATGACATCTTTTGATTCAATATAATTCTGGAAAACGACAACATTCTACAACGATTCATTACAAAAACTATTATTTATATCATTACAGGAAGATTGGAAATTGAAATGTACATCCACTATCGCATAATTAAAAACGAGGAAATGTTTGAAATTTTATTAGTCTTCAAAAATTCCATATTTTTGAAAAAGACAGGCATTTGGGTTTTCTTATTATTTGATATTGAATTGATTAAGAGAATGTGTTGAATACCACATTAATTTATGTATGTACAAACTAATAAAAACTAATAACTTATATAAGTCACATAAAAACACATAAAATCTAAATAGTGATATATTGGGGATTTGCTAAACATAAAATAAAGTGGTGAAGGGGTCAAAGAATCGCACATAAAGCCACCCAATATCCTTACACTACAGAAAGTGGTGCTACACATAAAGCCACCCAACAATATACATTAACAATACGTATACTAGTATAAATGTATAATACTGGGTTGGTCCCTTTCCATATCATATTCAGTCACAAGGTACATCCATTAATGCACAACATACAACTCAGTGTTATGACACATTTGAATTTAATATCAATTCTTTATCTCTGTGGAAAAGATTTACCATAATTTTTTAACAGCTGCAGTGGCGGTGGTTAATCATCAACAGCTCTGTTTTTCATGCAGGCGTGGGCATAAATGCAGGACCTTTGCCATTAGTAAACCTTCTGTTCCAGTTTTCCTCAAACACCCATTTCTCTTTCTTCTTTCTTTCTTTCTATTATGTATATTTACTGATCTGTGAAATTTTTGTGGGGTTTCTTTCGATATCTTGAGGGGGGCTGTTTTAATCAAATTTGAAGAAAAAGATTTGGGTTTTTTTTGTTTGATTCGTCTTCAAGTGGGCAGTGAAGAGCATAGTACCAAAAGTTGCTCAGATTCTCTGAATTGGGTATCTTTTTTCGCTTCCTACTTTTGGTTGTGTTTTCCTCCGATTAGGGTTTGGTCAGAATGAATCATGAAATGAATGGAGAGGTTATTTATGATACTGAATCGATGTTCTTTTTCGTCTGTGCGTAAATTAACTACTCCCTGAACACTTTTCTGAGCTCTTTAATGAGTTTTCTTGTCATTGGAGGAGGCATCTGTTTGTGTAAATTTGGGGATTTGATTTAATTTTACGCATTTCAACTCCAATGATCCTTTCGGGAACTGTCTTGTCTATGTTTTAACTATTAATTTTCTAACCTTTTGTTTTCTTCACTCTCATAAATTTCATCTTTATTACTTCCGATTCCTACAGGTTTTCTCATGGTACAGTTTCTTTTCTATCTGCATTTAAGAAGTTGCTTTGATTTGGAGCTTTAATTCATCTGGGTTTGTTGTCTATACGCTTCGAGATTAGGGTTTTTTTTTCTTCTATCTGGGTGGTCAAACATTTTGTGATTTTGACTTATTTATTGCGATATAATGGCTGGGGAGGATGAGATTGAAGGGAGAAACAGAGATGATGATGAACAAATGCATTACAATTCCACCAATTTATCCTCAGATTGGCCGTTTAACAGTTCCAATGATCTTACAAACACATCGATGGCCATGGTTACCTCAAGCAACCCCATGAACAACAACACTCCATGTTCTTCAGCTTCCATGATCGATTCCTTTTGCCATACGCCTCCCACCATTTGGGATCACAATCCTACAAATCCTCAAAGCTTAGGAGCTTTCTGCGATATGAATTTACAGAACAATCCGACCACTTCATCATCCTCACTTGGGTTCCGAAAAGGAAATCTCCACACCCCTTCACGAAACCTCGACATGTCTTGGCCCCCACCAAATTCCGCCATTAAAAGAGGCGGTATGTTCATACCACCACCACCAGCTGCTACTTCCACCATGCTTCCTCACACTTTATCTCAATTCCCAGCTGATTCAGGTTTCATTGAAAGAGCAGCCAGATTGTCGTCGTTCAGTGCAGGTAACTTCGAAGACATGATAAACCCTTTTGGCAATGGACCTGAATCATCTTTAAGTCCTTATTCTAGTAGACCAGTTCAAGAGGGTTTTGTAAACGGGTTCAAATCGACATCTGGCGAAGGGTCTAAAGACATTCCACTTCCTGTAGACTGCGATGGAAGTCAACCCAAGAACGATGCCAGACAGGGTGGTTCTGGTTTTTCCGGCAACAATCTTCCTGGTGAAGCTGAATTTAGTGAAGGCGGACAAGATGAGACTTCAAACGAGGGACTTGGCTCAAAGAAACGAAGAAGAAGTGATCAGGTATCTCTCTCGAGTCTTGATTACCACTTTATCTTGATCAAAGATGATCTTTGACTTTGACTTTTTTTTTTTTTTTTTTTTTTACTGTTCTTATTCTAAACAACAGGATACTGATTACAACCAAGTCAAAAGATCCCCACAAACACCTAATGAATCTACAAAAAACAACACTGAAATCCAACAAATGGGTGACAAGAATCCAAATTCAATTGCTAATAAATCAAGTGGTAAACATGGAAAACAAGTATCTCAATCATCCGATGGACAAAAAGAAGAATACATTCATGTAAGGGCAAGAAGAGGCCAAGCTACCAATAGCCATAGTCTTGCAGAAAGAGTAAGACTTCACTTAAATACAGTCTTTAATACTTTAAGTCTATAGTAATTAATGAATTAATTTGAAGCATTTAATATACAATAATTATAGGTAAGAAGGGAGAAAATTAGCGAAAGAATGAAGTTTCTTCAAGATCTTGTCCCTGGATGTAGCAAGGTAAGTTACTTAAATTTATGTGAAACACAAGTCTTTTATTTATTTATTGTTTTACATTTTTCTTATTTATATTGGTTGTTTTTTAAGGTCACAGGAAAAGCTGTTATGTTAGATGAAATTATTAACTATGTACAGTCGCTACAAAGACAAGTTGAGGTATGATTACAAAAAAAAAAAAAACATTTCTCGATTGCTAATATTCAAACATATGTTGTAAATTAAAGTTCCCTTTTTTTTGGTAGTTTTTGTCAATGAAGCTTGCTACAGTTAATCCCCGAATGGATTTTAACCTTGAAGGACTTATAGCAAAAGATGTACGACATTTTATTTTAACGTAAATCTTAATTTCATTTTTTTTAAAAATAAATGTTAATGATTTATTTTTAACAGATGCTTGAATCGCGAGGGGTGCCTTCTGCTTCGCTTGGTTTTGGTGCTGACATGGCAATGGCTTATAACCCATCACAAATGGCAATCATGCAAGGTGGAATTTCTGGTTTAGGAAGCTCATCAGATGCAGTGAGAAGAACAATTAATTCCCATTTAATGGCCATTGGTGGAGTATATAAAGATCCTACTTCTCAGGTAAACTTATACCTTTTGCTTTTCAATCTGACTTAATCTGATCTGACTCAATCAGCAACTATCAAACAGTCTTTTGGCTTAACCTATTAAGTCATTCTATCTGTATTGTGTAAAGACAGGTACCTAGCTCGTGGGATGATGAGCTTAATAACATAGTTCAAATGGGATTAAATCCTAGTAGTACTCAAAATTTAGGTATTTTATTTAAATGTAATTAACTTTTTAGCTAAGAAGAAAACTATATAATTATATTCTTTATGCAGGATCAACACCTCCAAGTCATCTGAAAGCTGAACCCTAAGAGAGATATTAGGTTTCAAGAAAAGGGTCGTCATGTAATTAATCAGTGGATATTCTTTTTGGTTAATCTCTATATAGAAAACAGCAAAAGAAGGTTGATACATATAAATCATATATAGCAGATGGGAGTCGAGTTGCTCATTAGTAAAAAAAAGAGTTTTTTTTTTTTTGCTTAAATTGTAAAGCAACTGAAATGCAGAAGTATCAGCATGTGTGTGGGGAACGTTTTATTTTGTCAAAAATCTTTGTTTAGTTTTAGTGTGTTGATGTTTGTAATCTTCAATTGTAGAACAGTTTGTTTTTGTTTTACTTGAAGATGGTGTTTTTTTAGTAAATTGTGACATGTTTTAGTTAAAAGAGTTTAATAAAGTCAAGATTTGTGTTATTAAAGAAGGTGAAAGAGAAATGGATTAGTTAGGGGGTAGGGTGTAGGCATAATGATTACGTGTTTGGATTCTTTCGTATGTATTTTACTAGTTGTATGGACTTTTTGTACAGAGAATCTTAGCGCCCAGTGCCCACTTCTTTAAAAAGAGAGGGGAGTAGTAGTAGTACTCTTTTCTTGTCTGAAAGTCTTTTCGAAACACACTGATAGTAAACAGAGTGTGTACTAATTCAAGAGACTTTGATTAGATTGACATTTCAAATTGTTACTTCAAGTGCAAATTGCAATCCATGTAAATGTGATGCATTACATTAGAGGTGCACAAATGGGCCCCCGGCCCAGCTCAGCCTTCATAAAAACAGGCCCGTTAACGCCTGGGTTTTTAAGAGACGTTTTCGGAAAATATTTTTACTTGTTTGTTTAAGTGTCATGGTAATCGACTAATTAAAGGCACAACGATTAAAACGTAGGCTTGGGTGATATAGTATGTTTATAAGAGGGAAGTACAACTATAATTTGATAATTACTACCGTTTTGGGTGTCAAACAATTTAGTTTAAGAGTACAAGTAAGAAATACATGTTTGATAATCTTTTTGTAAGTGAGAAAATGAGGGTAGTAAGTTTTCTTCATAATGGCGTACATTTTCAACAAATGATATATTCTAAGTTGATGTGAAGAATACCACCAATGCAAAAATACTTCTGAACTTTCAAGTGCTTTAAAGGGTAGCTTTAAGCTTTTGAAAACATAAAATTCAGGTGGTAGATGGTCCCTTGAATGACTCTTTTGGGTGTGAAATGCTTTACAATGCTGAAGTGGGTTGTTAGAAGTTTACAACTTAAACAATGCTCAAACACAGTCTTTGTAAACTTGAATATGCAGACTTTTTGATCCAATTGCCCGTATTTGTCTCACCCGTCCCGAAACCTCATCCATGTATTGCCCCGACCCAGTTAGCCTAGCTCAGCCTTTGATCGGTCAAGGTCAAAGCCTGGATGAACATGCCTGTGGGTCGGGCCGGGCGGTGCCTGACCCAAACCCCAATGCACAACTCTACAATACATCTTGAAAGTTCATGGTTATTATTGTCAAATGACCCTAATATTTTGGACAAATTAGATTTATTCACTAAAATGACCATGTAAAATGGTAGATACTATGTCACCACAAAACTATTTTTTATGGACTTCAGCAAAATGACCACACCTATCGCAAATATTTGTTCGCGAAGGATATATTCAACAATCCCTACCAAATAATGCTCGCTAAGGATTCACGTATCACCTTTTTCCCTCGTGAGTAGTAATGTTTTTATTGTTCCCAATGCATCGTTTAATCATGCAGTGTATTTTGGTCCATTTAAATGTTTGAAGATTCTAACTATTAGTTACTTGTATGATATTTGCAATGTGAATCTTTGCTTCTTTCAAAATTTTGGTCATTCACTATGATATCGATTCGTTGTGTTTCCACATAACAATACATGAATATGTTGTTTTCAAGTTGATATTGATAGTTGGTGTTACACCTATGATGAAGGAAAACAAGCAACTTGTAATGTGATAGGTTTTATAGGTTATAATTAAAACATGTGGCAGAAAAACTTAACCCTTCTGTAGTATCCGGGATTTTCCAGGTATTATTACGATTCATTATAATTAAGGCGTGTTGTGGTATGGGTTGGACTTGATTTTTGGGCCTTGCTAGTGGGCTGAGGGAGTTGCGTACGCGGGGCGTACAATGCCGAGTACGCCCAACGTACTCGTGGAAAGGAAGCGCGGAGGTCAAGCACGTACGCCCGACGTACGTGTGCAGATCCTTAAACCCTAAATATCATAGTTGCTCCCTATATAAAGAACATAACCCCTGTTGGTTCAGCCTCCCTTCACTCTTACCCAGCCACCACGAAAACACTAATTCCCTTTGTGTTCCCTTGTGTTCTAAAAGCCTTTTGAGAGTGTTTGTGTGTTATTCTAGTGAGAAAAGAAGAAAGGAGCTTGAAGAAGGAGCAATGATCCACCAAGAGCTTGTAGATCCAAAGGATTGACACCATTTCTGACTCTTTTGAGGTATCAAGTTCCATACTTGACCATTGTATGCTTAGATTTGTTTATTTGGGTCTTTTTTTTATGAGTTTTGGACCCCATAGTTGGGAGTGTTTGAGTATTGTTGGTTCCAGAGCTTAAGAGCTGTCCTTTTGGACTCTTGGAAGCACCTAGAGTCATAAAAATCAGATCTTGGTGGTTAAGCCAAAACCATGCAAGGGCTAGATGGTCATAAAGTTGGATTAATGGACCAAAATCATGTTTCTACCCCAACCTTGCATGCAATCACATAAAGTTCGTGACTTTATGGTCTAGGAGGTCTAAAAGGACCTGGATCTACATTTTGGACGTAAAGGCTTAATGGATTAAGTCAAGGATGAAGTCCCAAGGAAGCTGGCCAGTATGCTGGGCGTACTCCCTGGTACGCCGCGCGTACTGGGTCAACTTCTCGTATGTGGTCAAGACCAGCGTACGCATGCAGAGTGGATTTCTTGGGTTTTTGGGCCATAGAAGGTTGGGCCTGGACTTTTGGGCCTCATAGCCAACTGTGAAGCATAATTTTGGACCTGGGAATATGGAGTAGGAGTGTTGGGCCCTTGGGCCATGTTGGGCCATTTGGGATTATTTTGTTTTGGGCTAAAGACTTCGTAGAAATTACAAAAAGGCCCATTTGAAGGGTTGGGCCCAATTTGGATAATTGGGCCATTTGTGGACCCAGGGAGTCTTGATGGGCCATGGGTGCGTTGGATTCAATGCACTAGAGTGGGGTCTTTTGAATGTTCTCAAATTGGACCAAGGGGTAAAATGGTCATTTTACCCCAAGTAATGTTATAGACTCTGATTGAGTGATATGTGTCTCTGATAGCCGGGAGCCATCAGAGCAGCTGTTAGAGATTTCCTCCGCGAGATTCGACACGCAGTTTACGAGGTGAGTTATCTTCCAGTAGCGGTGGGTCTACGGCCACAATGCCGACCCACTAGTAGGAGTTGTTTGCTAGATGATTGTCTTTGTGATATTCATCTAGGTTTGCTGCTACCTGTTATGTTTTATGTGCTAGCATGATATGATGTTATGTGATAGTGGTAGTAGTAGGGGTGAAATAGTCCCCAGTTACCGGTCAAAAGGGCCGAAGGGGTAGGCCAGCACCCAGATATGCTAGGCAAGCTCACCGGTCGAGAGGACTGAAGGGGTAGGTCGGGCACCCATATATGCCTGACAATATGTATGTCTTATGATTGTATGATATGTGGTATGATGGGGGGGGGGGAACTCACTAAGCTTCGTGCTTACAGTTTTCGGTTTGTTTCAGGTACCTCTTCAGCGAAGGGGAAGGAGCTGGTGCGGTAGCTGCACATCACACTCACACAGGATTCCGCATTTTTAGATTTATGGGATTGTACTATGATTTTATTGCTACTTTATGATATGAGACATGTTATGATGGTTTATGGATTTATTTTGATATCGACAATGTTTTCAGTAAAAGATTTTATAATTTACTTAATTAAAAACGAAATTTTTGGTCTTGAAAATCGGGGTGTTACACCTTCGCATGCAACCTATTTGGATCTAAATTTGCTCTATTGAAAACAATAAACTATTGAATATCAAGAACCCTAAGAGTACCCTACTATTATCGAAAATAACAAGGGATTAGGGTTTACATACCTCTTAATTATTATAGCAAATAACCAAAGTAATTTTTTTTTGAAGCCTTTAAAGCTAACACCAAAAGCTTGACGCCTCTAATGGTTTGTACCCAAACCCTAGCAATTGAAAACTTGAGAGGAGAAAGGAGAGGGGATGATAGTTTCGGCTCTTCTTATTATACAAGTAGTGGACAAAAGTATGATGCCAAAGGACCCTATTTATAACTGATATGAAAACCTTAGAAACCCTAATTTGGAATAAAATAATATTATTTCAAATCCAGAATTATTTAGTTTCCTAATTATCCGTATTATCCATATGGAATAATCTAGAAACCCTAAGGAGCCTCCAAAGGGTTCATCCATGTAGTAATTAGATGAAATGACTTGTAGACATGAAAGCATAAGAACTCAATGGATTCCCTTCTTTGTCTGTCTGATTTTAGGGAGAAGGTGCCATTGAGTTCTTAATAATTAGAATATTTTTTTAGACGTTCATTGAAGAAGTTATAATTACTCAACAAATTTTCCCCTTCGGCCAACCCTAGGAAATTTCTAGAATTCTTCTCTTGTTCAACTATTGAACAATTACAACTTTAGTCCTTGTACTTTTAATTAATCAAATTAATCCCAAAATTAATTCCAATTAATTTCTGATTACTTATTAATTAAATAACGATATTTCTAGTTAATATATTAATCTCATAACATATTAACAAACTATTTATTTCTATTTATTAATCATATAATAAATCAATAAATCAACCTCTCTCTCCAAAAGTCATTCTGTCATTACTAGTTTTGAGGGCAACTCAAAAAGGACTTTGCTTTTAATTCAAGTATATAGCAATTTAGTTATTGGATTAGACACCTAATCCAACAGTCTCCCACTTGGATAAGTCAATAAATACAATTGCAAATATAACTTCTAAATTAAATAACAAAGTATGATTTCCAAAGCAACTGTCAGACTCTAATATGATCAGACATCGACCTTAAGATAAGTGATTAAATATTCCTTCATTCTTCAAGATATCATATGCACATGAGACATGGATTATAATCAATCTCTTATCCAAAATTTTGTTTCCCGATTTCCTGATTTGTGATGACTTCCTAAGACTATTAATTGAATACATCAATTCAGTCATGG